GTGGTGCCGGAGGCCTAATTTAAGTCCCTTTCTCTTTACCACCCTTTTCTTAAAAGGAGAGGATGGGAAGAGGAAGTGGATTTGACTGTGGAGGAGATGCACAGGAAGGGGATATATCCTCTTTATGTGTGTCTCCTCCGTCGGATAAGGGTAGGCATTGCATCTGTAATTGCGGATGTCTATGGGCAGCGGTCGCTTTGCCATTTTGGCGGATTCATGTGGCCGTTTGCTCGTTTGCCACCTTATGTTATAAAAAAAAACTTTCGCATTTATAATATTAGTAAGAAGTATGATATACTAAAATATAACTCTTTCCTCTTTTAACATTAGCATAGAAGTAGTATATAAAAGAATAAATTCCTTAGAAATACACATTTATGAGAAAGATTCTTTTATCTTTAGTAACTATTGTATTCTGTGGAGATTTAAGGATTTGCAGCAGATCAAAAGAAAATGATAGCGAAGTGAATCTCTTGGGAAATTACGTTTAAACCTACCTTTATTGATATTTTTATTATTTTATCGTTAATCTATGAAATGGATCAACGGTTCTTAATAAGACTGTTATAAAAGCGAATAAACAATCTTGCTAATATTAGAAGCGATTTAGATGGATGTTTGTTAGTTTATAGTTTTAAATAAATAAATAAATAAATTAATTAACTGCTGAAAGGATATAGATGTAATCTATCTTACTACTATAAATGTGAAAGTTTAGATGGATGGATGTTTGTTAGAGTTTGTAGCCTAAACGGCTGAAGGGATCTCGATGAAATTTGTCATAGATGTAGTGGATAGTTTGGAAGAACACATAGACTACTTGCATCTATTTTTTTCAATTCCGCGCGGACGGAGTCGCGAGCAAAAGCTAGTACTAATACAAAGAAGATAGATTTATATTTTTGTATGTCTCTCAAAAATTACTGGGCCGATTTCAAAAATTCTTTCAACATTTACTTACGTTTTCATTTAGGTTAATAATTATTACTATAGGGTTTTTATTATTTTTTTAAATCAACGTGGGCGAAGTCGCAAGCAACAGTTAGTACGGTATGTAAGTCTGGAAGAACACATAGGGTAACTTGTGTTTTTTTTTATTTTAATTTTCTTTTACAATTACCGTGATGTGTGACTTCTTTTTGACTTATCACATTTTTCTTTACGATTTTTTCTATATTATTTTATTATATTAACTAACTTATATTTTTCCTGCTGTTTTCGATGCCCACGATTCAGGCATTGCCTAGTGTGGGCATCACTAGATCAATCGCATTTTATCCACTTTTTATATCTGTCTTTTAATTGGTTATATTATTAACTTTTATTGTTAATTGTTAATCTGTTATTTTCAATAAATTTCAATTTCAACTATATTTTGACTTTATAATCTTAAATAGAAACCTATCATTGGCTTTTATATGTGTACGCTGTTGTTGGTTTTTTATATCATCGGTAGCAGCTCAATATAAGTCCCCACCGAGGGGCTCGGAGCCTACCCTGAGTTAGTGACTAGGCCATAGTCAACCTGCCCTGCGGGTTGACTTCACACATATCTTTAAATATCTTCGCCGATATGCGCATCACGATGTTTTCCTTCACCGTAAAACGTCGGGTAAAATGTACTTATGAAAATTCCAAAAATCGTAAATCACATTGGTACGGCGGGATTCGAACTCAAGACCTGTAGATTATAAGTCAAGTGCTTAAATCACTGAGCCACCGACGCTCAAAGTATTTAAATAAATTAAATCGTGACTAGTCATACTAAATACTGAATTTTAAAAACAATTTAAAATGGTAACTTGACTGGATTTTTAAATTATTTTAATTTACGCAGACAAAACAATACATTTAAAAATTAATTAACACTGAATTTAAAAGTCAGTTTTAAACGGAATTAAATTTAAAGTGTTCATTTAATATAATCTGTAGCGAAGCGTCGGAAACGACAGCCGCCATATTGCTGGTCGTTAGCGATTCCATTTCCGGGCGCCATTTTGATTTGTGACATTACTTTGATGCGGCCAATTTTACAGTTCGCCGACTTTATATCGATATTCAATTGTTTTAACGATTCTCGTATGTTTTAAAATATCAGTTGTTTTGGAAATTATTGCCTTTGAAGATATTTCTGTTTAAACTAGGTGACTATAGTTATTTTTGTCCCCATTTAAAAGTAGATATATTTATATATATAAAAATAATAAACATACTTAGAATTTTTTTAATTTTAATTCTGATGTTCAAAAGAAGATTTAAAAAGAAAGAAAACACGTAAAACTCAAATGTAAATAATAATTAATTGGCACTCTTATTTGTTAAGATTGAATGTGGATGGCTACAAAGGTAGAGGAAAACCGAAGAAAGTATGGATGGATTGTGTGAAAGAGGATATGCTTAAGAAAGGAGTGGATTCAGATATGGCTGATAGATGTATGGAGCACATACTGTGCCGACCCTCCGTAAGGGATAAGGGCAAGTGTATGATGATGGCACTCTTATTTGTAAAATGTCTTTTCTGAGATTTATCTATTCGAGGATAACAGACATAAATTCAGACAGTTCAAGCCAACTTGTAGTGACTTTGATCGCGACCCTCTTTGACTAAACTATCGCACAACTGTTTTAGTCTCGCTTTGTTTCCTATGAGTGTATAATGACGTACGATTACTCGATTAGTTGTGCAACTAAACAGTTGAAGGCTGCGAAACAATCGACAATCACAACAGTTCTGCGTTAGTTTAGTCAAAATGGTTCTCTTATTCGAGAATGATTTTTTTTATATAATATAAGGTGGCAATCGAGCAAGCGGCCACCTGAATCCACCGAAATGGAAAGCGACCGCTGCACATAAACATCCGCAATTGCAGATGTATGCCTACCCTTAATTGACGTAAGAGGAGACGCACATAAAGAGGACATCTTCCATTCCAATGTTTCTCCTCCACCGTCAAATCCACTTATCCTTCCCATCCTTTCCTCTTAAGAAATGGGTTGTAAGGGAAAGTGACTAAAATTAGGCCTCCGGCACCATAATCATCAGACGAAGCACGGAATTGCTTCCACTTCATACCTGTTTTCTGTAGTCGTGGTATTGCACAGGGCGAGCCGGCCCATTCGTGCGAAGATGTTAAAGCGGGCTCTACCACTGAAATGTTATTATATAAGCGCCATCTGTTGATTTCGAAGTACAAACATGTTTTACTTCCAGGTATAACCAGTCAAGATGGGTGCGGCATCCGACGGCTGGCGTGCCCGTATCGACGCCTGTCGGGAGTCGAGGAAGCTGGTGCTGGTCATCGTTGCTATAG